GGAGACAGCACTGGACCTGGAGTCTGGAAGACCTGAGTTCAAGTCTGACCTTTGACACTTACTACTATGTGGTCTTGGGCAAGGCATCTAACCTCTATCTGCCTCAGTTGCCTCATCTGAAAAATGAGGATAATAATAGCACCTACCTCTCAGGGTTGTCATTCTTCATCCTTCATTTTCTTTTTTTTTTTTATTTGTCCTTCATTTTCAAGGAGGACCAGTGACATCATGGGGTGATGTCTCAACTTGCTCATTAATTGGATTTAAGTGAGGTACAGCTGCACAAAATCATCAGCCTTACTCTCTCTCCCAGAGTCATCAAAGACCCGTGACAAGACAAATGTCAAGACAACTGGTGATGGCCTGGGATGCAGTGGATGACCTTGGTTTCTTAGACGCCTGACCAAGCTCTAAGCATTCCACAGCACCTGCTCCAGCTGCCTTCATGGCCATTGGAACAAATTGTTCTTATCCACCCATTCTTCTAGGGAAGTCTTCACGGAATTGGGGTAGACATCCCCCTAACTCACTGATGAGTTTGAGGCCTGTCAGCTACCCTCAACCTGGTCTAGCCAGTCTGCTCAGACAGTTTTACAGGGGTGTGGCCACTGGACACACTACAGCTTCTTGGAGCCTCAGGTGAGAGTTGGGTGGCAGGTGGACAACAAAGGTGGATGAGCAGCCTTAAAAAGGGCTGAGCAAGCCCTCACACCAGAGGTGCTAGTCCTCCCTAAATACTCCATACACTCCCAAGGTTATTGTGAAGATAAAATGATATAACATTTGCAAGGCATTTTGTGGACCTTAAAAGCACTAAATAAATGCTAATTCTTATGATTATACCTCTCACAAGTCTAGGATGCAGTGAAGTTGTGATGATTAATGAATAGTGACTAAACGCATGTGCAGGCCAGTTGATCAGTCACTACTTTCATGACTTTTTAAGGCTGTGGCTCACCTGCCAAATTGTTAGGATACAAGGTAGATAATAAGGAGGAGACTAAGAGTGAGGATATAGCCTTGACTATCCTCCAATCACCTGTCCATTCATGCAAATTATATGCGAATACACATATACATATACATATACATGTACTTATACATATATACACATGTGCAGAACTGGCATGATCATCATGGCTGTCTGAATGTCATGAATGTCTGCATTAGGGAAGAACAACTGCTAAATTTACTCATTGTTTTTCAGTTAACGGTTCTATTTCCAAAGTTTATTGTCCAAGTAACATTTTCTGCTCTCACAACTTTTAGCACCACTTCTACCTCTTGTCAAAGATTGACAAGCTGAAAATTTAGCTTGCGAAGGGAAGAGAATTTAGCTTGAGGTCATCTGGTCCAACACCCCCCCCCATTTAATAGATGAGGAAACTGAGACCCAGAGAGATTAGGTGACCTGTCGAAGATAACACAAATAAAGTAACAGAATAGGTATTTGAACCAAAATAGTAGATTCTTTTTTCCTAAATCCACTGAACTTCCACTATGAAACACACATATGCCTGAACAACAGTGAGGAAATCTAAGATGTTGTAGAGACTATTTTCCTCCCTCCCCCGCTCCCAGAACTTGTTAGCCACCCAAAAAAGCATTTTGACACACCTATTGGGAAATAGTGCATTTAGACTCATGATAAGGTGATCATTTCTATTCTATAAGTTAATCAATTGATCAACTAGCGTTTATTTAGCACCTCCTATGTGCCAAGCACAGTGCTAAATGCAAGGGATACAAAAAGAAGCAAAAGACAGTCCCTGCTCTCAAAAAGCTTACCATCTAATGGGGGGGCGGGACACTATATGCAAAACAGAAACAAGGTTCCAGCCCTTAAGGAATTTACCATTGGAGGATGAGGGAGTGGGGAAATAATACATACAAATATAGGTATATGCAAAATGGATATAAAGTGATGGGAGGGCAGTGGTAGCTGGGGGATCAAGAATGGTTGGTCTTATGTAGAAGGTGGCACTTGAGCTGAGCCTTGAAAGATACTAGGGATTTTGAGACACGGCAGTGAGAAGGGGTGCTTTCCAGGCATGCAGGACAACCAAAGGCATGGAGGTGGAAGATAAAGTACTGTATTTAAGGAATAGCAAGAAGGCCACTTTGTACTATAGTGTAGAGGGGAGTAATGTGCAACAAGACCAAAAAAGTGGATTGTAAAGGACTTTAAATGTTTATATTTGATCTTAGAAGTAATAGGGAAACAGTGGAAATTATTGAGCAGAGGACTGATTTGGTCACATTTGAGTTTTAGGGAAATCTGGCAACTATGTGTAGAATGGATTGGAAATGGATAGACAAGATAAAGAAATCAATTAGAAGCCTACTGCAATGACCCATGTAAGAGGTATGAGGACCTGAACTAAGGTGGTTACTGTGGGAATAGAGAAAGGGGAACAGATAAAAGAAATAGTATGGAAGTAGAAATGACAAGATTTGACAACGGACTGGAAAATGAAGGAAAAGAGAAAAAGAAATCAAAGATGACACCAGGATTGCAAACCTGTGTGACTGGAAGGATAGTAATGCCCTTGACAGAAACAGGAAGAAAGGTGAGTCTGGGTAGAAAGATGAATTCTGTTTTGTGTGATTTGAGTTTGAGGTGTCTACAGACACTGGGTTTGAAATGTCTAGTAGACAGTTGTTGATGTGAAAATGGAACTCAGTAGAGAGACTGGGGCTAGAAATATAGACATGCAAGACATCAGCATAAAGATATTAATCAAATCCCTGGTAGTTGATGAGGTTATGTAGAGAAAGAAGAGAAGGGCTCCAAAACAGAGCTTTGAGGTACACTAAAGTCAGGGGTTGGGATATGGATGATGAACTAGCAAAGGAAACTAAGAATGAGCAGTTAGACAGGAGGAGAACCAAGAAAGAACAGTTATGAAGCCCAGAGGGAAAAAAATATCCACAAAAATAAAAAGTGGTCACCACCGTCCTATGCTACAGAAAGGCCAAGAAGGATGTGGATTAAGAAAAAGCAACCAGATTTGGCAATTGAGAGATCTTTGGTGACTTTGGAAAGGGAAATTTAAGTTGAGTGATGAATGATGAGCAATCCTAGCTGTAGAGGGTTTAGAAAACAGTGAGAAAAAAGGAAGTGGAAGTAATGAGTACAAACAGGCATTTCAAGGAAGTTGGCCAAGAAAGGAGAGGGGGGAAGAAATATAGAATGATAGCTTGTAGAAATAGTAAATTCTAGTGACGGTTTTTAAGGATGGAGAGGCAGGTGTTTTTAGGAAGAGGGAAAGAACCGGGAAAGAAGGAAAGATTAAAAATTGGAAAGAAAGGGGTAATAGAGGAAATCTGCTCAAGAAGATGGGAAGGGATGGGTTCAAGGGTACGTGTAGAAGTGTTGGATTTGTCAAGGAGAAGGACAATTTCATCAAATATTGGAGTCAAGGAGAGAATAAACTGTTGTCAAGGGGTTGCGAGATGAAGAACAGAAAAGAGAGAGCTCATGACAAAAGGCTTTTATTTTCTCAGTAAAATGGGCCAAAATATTTAGCTGTGAGGACTGAAAGGGATCTTAGACATCATCTAGTCCAACTTCGTTTTACAGATGAGGAAATTGAGGCCCAGAGGGTTGTAATTTACCCAGGATCACACACAGATTCAAACCCAGTCCTCAGGTGAATTTTCCAGTTTTTCGCTCCTATTTCTCTAAGGTCACGGGCTTCCCTCCTCACTGGAGACAGTTATTTTGCATATACCTGCCACCATTCACCAAGGGGTCCGGGGAATCTAATTGAATTCCATCCCCACTTTGGAGAAATAAATTCCCCCTACAGATGGGTAACCCTCCTACACAAAGGACAGCTGGGCGCTAGTACCGACAACCTGGAAGCATCTTTGTTTTCATTTTTCCTTTTAAAATCCAGTCAGGACCTTGTGGCGGTGCACACCTGTAATCCTTCCTGCTGGAAGAGGCCGAGGCTAGCAGATTGCTTGAGCTGCAGTAAGATTAAAGCAGATCGAATGTCCCCACTAACTGCGGCACCAATGTTGGAGAGGGGCAGCAGGGTGCGTGCAGGCTGCCTAAGGAACAGCAAACTGGCTCAGGTCTGAAATGGAGGTGGTCCAATATCAGTGGTGGGATCACCATGAGTGGCGCTTCCAGCCTGGGCGAGATGGGGAGACCCAGTTTCAACCAATCAATTAATCGGCAAATAAATAAATCTCGTTAAGGACCTCTGGGGAGGAAATTTTACACCATCCCTACTTGGCAAGTATCCAGCCAAGCCCGGGAGGAGAAAACTACAGCTGCTCTAAACATCCTAGAGCATTCCACCAGCATGGAGACAAAGAGGCTCTGGGAAGAACCAGAAATCAAATCCGGCTCCTTCTCTCCCCTATGGGGGAAAAAAAATGTAGGGACTTTTTCTCCATTTAAAACCCGCGTAATTCTAGGACCATATAATTCGGGGTGCAAAATCACAACCACCACCTGAAAAGTGAAATTGTCAACTCCTCAACCTTTTGGTACACTCAGAGCTAATCAACCAGTTTGGAGGATTTTCCCCCTCATTTGACGGATTTCCCCGCCCCCAGAACCGCTCCAGACTAGGGAAAGCGTTCATTTTTTCATGTCCGCTTCCTCACCCTCCTGCGCAGAGCCTGTCCAGCACAACTCATTCGTGTCCCTGCGGCCGCAAGTGTCTCCTTCCCATCCCCTGTGGGCTCTCCAAGTCACCTCTGGTAGCAGTTTTCCAAAGGACCAACCCCAAATTATATGGGGGGGGGAGAGAGAGAGAGAGAGAGAGAGAGAGAGAGAGAGAGAGAGAGAGAGAGAGAGAGAGAGAGAGAGAGAGAGCGAGCGCTTACTGACACGGATGCACTGGAGGAAGCTAACTTGAGAGCCCCGACAGTGGGGAGGGTTTTATTGCACGATTTCTCTGCAAATGGAAAAATCAATTGCAAACCTAGATGCCTTTGCAACCCCCACCCAAATTCCCACCCTACCTCCCCATACCAAACAAAACGAACACCCCCACCCCCAAGGAAGCAAGACAGTTGCTGGGTCCCTCTTCTCTACTCCCACCCACATCCGACCTTCTTTTCCCTCCTTTTCTTTTTCTTTTAAAATAACAATTGTTACAAACGATCCCCCAAGCCACTAAGGCAGATAGGACTTTACAAGGCAACATTCCCAACGGACCGCTTGGCACGGAACAAGTCACTTAGCACCCACAGCGGGGAGGGAGCGCACCCGGGCTCTGGGTTTGCCCAAACGGCCACCTGGAGGGTGTGCCCTTTCAGCCCTGCAGAAGGCTCAGGTCCTCTCAACCAAGACGCTCCCACCGCCCGGTTGCTGCTGCTCCTCCACCCTCAAAAAGCAATCTTCCCGGACTTCATAGGTGCCGGAGACAGCCTGAGTGGGGCCCTCGGGCGGGGAGGGAAGGGCTCGCGCCGGATCCCCGGGGCGCCCTCAGTAAAGCCCCATGATGGCCACGCCCACGTCTTTGGAGGGTCGCCTCTCCTGTACTAGAAAGTTGATCATGCTTTCTGATTTGATGAGCAGGTTGCAGCCCAGAAAGAAGATGCCGAAGATCACGGTGAGGGAGAGCACGCAGAGGACTGCGATCTGCGCCACTCGCGACAGCCACAGGCTCCGCTCGTCAGGGGCCAGACCCGCCGGGATCCCGTCGCTCGCCACCAGCGGGGGGCTTCCGGGACAGCAGCCCAGCCACGTGTCCAGCCCTTGGCTCTGGTTGCCGTAGGCGCCGCTTCCACCTCCGCTGCCTCCCGGTTCCAGGGCGCTCTGATTCAAGAAGGTCCAGTTCATCTGGCTCCCTAGCACGCCCCGCCAACCGACCGACCGACCTGGGACTCTGCTGCACGCAGTCCCTGCCTCCCGCAGACTGTCTTTTCGATGTCCCCTCTCCCATCGGCCGCCCCACGGGGCCCAGGTCTGGGCTCTGTAGGGACCCGCTGCGCCGCTGGGAGCTCGGGGAGACTTGAAGGCTGTCGGGGTGGGGGCGGGGAGGCTGGCCGGGATACTGAGGCGGAGAGCAGCTCTGCGGGTGGGTGAAGAGAAAAGAAATGGGAGGAGAACTGGCTCACATTCCTTCTACCCAGGACGGAGCCGCGGGGGCGGCCCCAGAGGATGCGAGCAACAGGCTGGAACGTTCAGTGCCTACCGCTGCGGGGACTAGCTGGAATTGGAGCCGGAGAAATAGTCACCCAGACTGCAGCTCCCCTCCCCTCACCTCTCCTCACAGAGCAGTCCGTAGTCCACCTCCCCACCACCACCACCCAGCACACACACGCGCGCGCGCGCACACACACACACACACACACACACACACACACACACACACACACAAAACCTAGCAACAGCTATTTCCCCCTCCCTCCTCTGGCGGCCAGCTGGGTCTCTAGGGGACGTCGGCTTGGCATCTGAGAATCATGAAACAGTCTTAGAACTGGGAAAAGACCTGGAGAGATCGTCTGGTTCTGCCCTCTGACTTCAGGCAGGAGAAAGTCTAAAGCATCCTACACATACACGGTAATCTGTTCCTTCCTGGAAGATCTCTAGGGCCTGAGCCTCTCTCTACCCTATTCTATTCTAGTGCTTGATCCATCCTTAACAGTTGAGAAGGTCTTACTTAAATCTAACCAAAATCTCTCCTTCCCTAATATTTAGTTCATCTTCAATCCTTTGCTGACAGAGACACTGCTTCATGTTCACCTTCATTCAGACACTCATGGAACTGGATACAAATGTATTCCAGGCTAAAACATCTGAATCCTTTCCAACCAAAGCCAATGAATCCTTTCTTCCTGCTTAAAAACATACCCATATTTTTTCATCCTTAAGACCCTTTCACTTGACCCCTATGATGCCCTCAAGCTATCATCCTACATCTTTCCTCCCTTTTATTAGCCAGACTCCTAATCAAAGCTGTTTATACTTCTTGTCTCCAGTTTCTCACCACTTCATTCATTTCTCAACTTATTGCTGTCTTGCATCTATTCACTCAACTGAAATGATTGCCTACCAATTATCTCTAAAATTGTCAAATCTCACGGCCTTTTCTCAGGCTTCATGCTTCTTGACCTTTCTTATATATTGACACCATTTACTACCCTCTCCTCTCTGGTACTCTTTACACTCTGGCTTTCCATGACATTGCTCTATCCTGAATCTCCTCCTTACAAGTCTGGCTACTCCTCTGCATCAACACTCATGTCCCACCCCCTTGGGGATGCTCTACTGTTTCTTAGCTCTCTTCTCTCTACTATCTGTCTCTGTGTATCATCTCTCTTTGTTGAATAATAAGTAATCCATGCAGTCCTAGGACATAGTTGCTTAATATTCCACAGTTCCCAGCAAGGCTCGATACATGTAATTAATTCATGATAGAGCAAAATGGATTGTTCTTCTAAACCTCATATTGCTCTATCATAACTAATGATGCAAACTGATGATGTGAACTAATGATGTGAATTAATAATGCCCATCAACCTCATACATCAACCTCAACTCCCTAAGTGTTCTGTCATTAATGAAACATCTGGGTGATTTTTCCAGGGACTGTTTGATGCTGCTGTTCTGTTGCCTTTATGAAGAAAGAACTCATGGTAGCATTCCTTGCAGTCTCTTGCAGGCTACCTATATGCATATATTCTGGAAATCTGTCTCTTCTTGAACAACAATAAACTTTATTCAGTTATTTCAGACTTAAATTTGTCAAGAGTTTCCTCTGTGGGGGTTGGGGATTCCCCAACAGTCTCTCTGATTCTCTCGTCGCTCTCTCTCTCTCTCTCTCTCTCTCTCTTTTCTCTCTCTCTCTCTCTCTCTCTCTCTCTCTCTCTCTCTCTCTCTCTCAGCAGCTCCCATGGGCTAAAATATCATCTATGCAGATGGCTACTAGATCTGTGGGCGCCTAGGTGGCAAAGTGGATAGAGTGCTGGGCCTGGAATCAGGAAAACATCTTTCTGAGTTCAAATTTGGCTTCAAAAATTTGGCTGTGTGAGCCTGGGCATGTCATTTCACCCTGTTTACCTTAGTTTCCTCATCTGTAAAATGAGCTGGAGAAGGAAATGGCAAACCACTTCAGTATCTCTGCCAAGAAAATTCCAAGTGGGGTCACAAAGAGTCAGCCATAAGCGAAATGACTGAACAACAACAAAAATGTTTAATAAATGCATTTTTATTCATTCATTCACTTAAATGGCTTTAGGACTGTTAATGGACATCCCTAACCTTGGAAATGCCAGAAGTCTGGTGTAGGCAGCAATGGAAGTGAAGGGGTAGGGAGGGAGGGGAGAGGAGGAATGGAGGGAAGAGAAGGAAAAGGAGGAGAAAGAAAGGGAGGGGAGGGGAAAGAAGGGGAGGGGAGAAGAGGGGAAGGAAAGGGAGGAAATTAATAAAACATTTTTAAAATGCACAGAGAGAAGAGCAAAAGAAAATCCAGAACGGGCACAGACAAGCTGGACAGTATTGGGTTTTGATACTATCGTGTTAAATATTATATATATATATACATATACATATATACAGACATATATATATACATTTTAAAATAATAAGCTATACATAAAGAATTCCAAGTTTCATATACATTTTCTTGTTATGTTCTTTTCATATAGAAATGTTTATGTTTATTGCTGTTTGTTCAATTCATAATTAAAAAAGAAACTTTATGAAAAATAAACAAAAAGGTACATATTCAGTTGTAAAAGGTTAAGGAACAAAGAGTTCACTTCCAGGATCAGGCTTCTCAGTGCCCATACTTCTGCCACACCATTGCTCACTTCTCCAGTGAGTGATGCCCTGTCACACCATTCCTCCTTCTCACTAGGAAAAACTTAAAAGTTTACCATATCTGTCTGAAATAAGACACACACATACAACTTCTGCCCCAAGTAAGAGAAGAGCTACATTTCACAATAGGACAGGTAAGGTTCTTGTAATCTACTGCTTCTTAGAGATGGCTGTTTCTCTAGAGAAAAATGTTGTTGACACCAGGGAGCTATTTAGCCCCAGCTAATTTACAGGAAGCTGAAAGTTAAGTCGATCTTGTTCAATTAAGCGTAAACACCCATCCATAAAAAAACAGTTCTGCAAATTGTGTCCACCCTATGTGGAACTCAGATCATCTCTATTCTACTGGTAACAAATCTTTCAGCCAGTCCTAAAGCATATCGCTTCACCCATTCCTCAGGCTCCATTACACACACACACACACACACACACACACACACACACTCTCTCTCTCTCTCTGTTGAACTTCTAAAATACCTCAAACTCAATTCCTTTAGGCACAGGTCTGGTTTCCAGAAGGCATGTCAAGTGGTTACCTAGGGAAAGTAATACCTTCTGACTGAAAGACCCTGGGCAAGGCAATTCTATTATTTTCTTAAGTCTGGACAATTATGTTATGTGCATTGCAATCACTCTTCTAATGCAAATCAGTATGTTGTCTTCACCTAATAGTTTAAGAGAATTGTCAAGAACACTGAGAAGTTAATTGACTTGCCCAGGGTCACTCAGTCAGTATGCTCCAGAGGCGAGACATGAGCCGGGTCACCTTGACTCCAAGGCCAGCTTTCTATCAATGATACTGCATTGCCTGTCAGATAAGACCCCTGCTTCCGATCCAGACAACTCCTTTTCTGATCCCTCAGCTCAGTAGCCCAAATTCCAAGGAACCAACTCTGGTTCTCAATGTCAAATCTAATGTTCTAGGCTCTCCTCTAAGACAGAATCTTCCTTTAAAGGATTCTCCTTATTTCCCAGTCCCAGGAGGTTTGACCTGCACCTTGGAAGTCCCTCATGAGGTAGGTCCCAAAAGCATGAGAATAAGGGAAAACCAGAGGCATTGGGTTCTTGACCCCAGCCCAAGCAGGGACCACATTAGTTGCACAACAGAACATGAAGTCAATGGGAACAGGGGGACAGAGAAGAAAAAGAGCTGACCGAGAATTTAGAATGTCAGGGATCAGAGATCATAGAGTTCTGCCCATTTGTAAATATAATTATCCAGCAAAGTATTTATAGATACAGGGACTTTTAAGTGAATTACCCAGGCTCATACAACCAGCATGTATCAAAGGCAACACTTGAATCCAAATTTTCTGGGTTTCAAGGCTCACCATCTATTCACTGTATAGATCTACGTGCTGCCTCTCAAATTCATAGAGGAGAAATATCTTTGGAATGCCTCAAATGTAAGGCCTTTCAGGTTAGGTTTCTTTCTTTAGCATTTAGAATCCAGGATCTCCCTAAACACAGTACTTGGTCCAAGATTCTGCCCACAGAGAGAATTCAGTAAGTGTTGGGCACAAATAGGCTTGGATCAACACTGTTCCACCCCCGGGTTCCCTTTCTAAGATAGAAGAAGAGGGAATCACATGAAACAAAAATCCAGTTTTCAAGTGACTATGGGCACAGATTTTTTCTGTAATTAGAATCACTTAATCCACATCTATGAACCTTTTAATCACTGTTGCAGCCCCTTCCTCTGATTGGTTGTTTTCCTCCCGGAATCTCCATTTTAATTTAAGTGCCCAGGTCTGTCAAATCTTCATTCATCTCTGGCTCCAGACTCTTTCTCCATCATGCCCTGTGGGTACCTTCTCCTTTCCTCCTCCCCCTGTCACATTTCCTTTTTTGTCAAATACTGCCCTATTAGAATATAAATTCTTTGAGGGCAAGGATTGTCTTTTTTTCTACTTGTGTTTTTATTCCCAGAGCTTTGCACATAGTAAACTCTTAAATAATATTTGTAGACTTGACTATCTAGATCTGTAACCCACAGCTTCTCTGGAAAAAGCTCGAGAAGGCTTGACAAATACACAAATTAATCAATAATCTCAGCTCAAGATTATCCCGTATGCTAAGAACAAATATAGCCAGGAATAAAAAGTTTGTTGATCAGAATGGAAATGCGTTAATCGGTGACTCACAGACTAAAGAAGTGTTAGGTCTTAAATGGACACTGCTGCTTTTCTTCTCATGTGGGGGAAAAGCCGTGAGAGAGACGGCAATGAGCAGCAGGTCATCCAGAAGAGGAGCCAAGTTATGACCCCGTAGCGCGGCATTGTCTTAGGGAAAGCTTAATACAAGAGCTGATATTGGAGCCTGACCTTGAAGGCTGGGCAGGATTTCAATAGGCAGAGATGGAGAGGAGGATACTTTGGCCCAGGGATCAAGGTGAGCAAAGACACAAAGTTGAAAAAGCAAGGGGTACATATCCTGGAATTGCAAGGGTGGCATACCCTTCCTTC